AAAATCACACATCTAATTATTTATCAATTACATAAACATTACATCATTAATTATTTAATTAACCAAAAAAATTACATCTTTATTAATAACAAATTAATTCTTAAACAAAACTATTAAATATAAACTAGGCAAACGTGCATTACACGTTGCTTGCACCTAGTTTAATATAAAATATGAATAAAAAACAAATGGACTCGAATTATTGAAGTGATATTCAATTAAGTCATTTCTCTTTCTCAACTTATTAATACATTTATTACGTGGATCCCATCAATTTCCACTAAATGTAATTAGTTAGACCCCACGCGACATAATCCAATTCATTACTGTTCAATAAAAACAAACAAATTGATGTCACATCAATGTTATACCACTTAATAGACCTTAGACATGATTACCTTTAAATTTTAAAATATATTCATAAGCAAACCTAAATTTTCTTAAATGATTTATGTATATATTATTCACCATTTTGGACTTGATCTATATCTTCAAAGCCCATTTCATATTCTCAAATCATTTCAAAAAACAAAAAATCATAGTTAAAAATTCTTAACAAAAAGTAATAACTTAATTGTTAGAAGACTCGTGCAATTTGAAAACCGACTAAAGAAATATTTCCGACAACTCGATGAGAAAAAGTCTTTGCTCTTTATCAAATAAGTTTGTCTTCTTTGATTTATAACGTATATTTTAGAATAATGTTATTCATTCACAGTGAGACTGTAACCTCAATTTATATGGTTTTAAATGACAGGTTAAGTGAAAAGTGAATTTAAATGACTTATTTAATTTCACTTATCACTTAACGTCACATTAACGTCACGTAGACTAGGGTTGTAACCCTAGTGGAGTTAAATAATATTACTCTATATTTTAACCATTAGAACTCGAAAGTAAAAATTCCATATGAGATAAATTTTTTTTTTTGTACAAAACACTTATTAATTTTTTAAAATTTTGTTTTTCAGTTTTGAGGTATGAAGGATTTTTATTCCAATTGATCAAATGTTTTACCAGGTCAATCTTGACTGCCAAAGACAGCCTCCAGCCATTGACAAAATCCCAATAGTAAACCAATGCAGCGACGTCGTTTTGCATTTACCTATCAATTCGGCTGTCGTTTTGGCAGATCTCCTGTGATTACCTTCCTCTCTTTTTACTTGTCACTGTCCGTCTCTTCATATGATTCCGGGGTCGCCCCAAAACCATCTCTTACTTTTCATCGTCCCCTCGTTGACACAAAGATCGGTTGACAGAAAACTCAAGATCTGTTCAATTAAATCCTCTGTTAACCAATTAAAGGTCAGATCTTTAACTTTATTTTTGCTATTTGATTGGTTTTCTTGTAAACTTTTAAGTTGCTGTTTAGATCTGGTATTTTACTGTTTCTGTTCAAAGATCGAATCTTTATGATAATTTTTTTTCCTGGGCTTGTCTGTTTTCTTGTAATATTTGCAGATCTGGTTGGTTGAGTTGAAGACTACGAGTTTCTGTTCTTTGTTGCCAAAAATTGTTTTCTTTGCTGCACGTAAAAGTAAAAGTTGACCTGAATGGAAGAAATCTCGGATTTGCCGAAAAATGATTCTATTCAAATTAGGGAGGTATGGAATGACAATCTTGAACAAGAGTTTGCTCTAATTCGTGAAATCGTGGATGACTATCCCTATATTGCGATGGATACTGAGTTTCCTGGTGTGGTTCTTCGCCCCGTCAGGAATTTTAAGCATATTAATGAGTATAATTATCAGACTTTGAAGGATAATGTTGATATGTTGAAGTTGATTCAGTTAGGTCTGACATTTTCAGATGAAAATGGGAACTTACCCACATGTGGAACTGATACTTGTTGCATTTGGCAATTTAATTTCCGTGAATTCGATGTGAACAAGGACATTTTCGCTAATGATTCAATTGAGCTTTTGAGGCAAACTGGGATCGATTTTAAGAAGAACAATGAGATGGGCATTGATGCAAACCATTTTGCCGAGCTCTTGATGTCTTCAGGAATCGTTTTGAATGACAGTGTGCATTGGGTGACTTTCCACAGTGGCTATGATTTTGGATATCTGCTTAAGTTATTGACTTGTAGGAATTTGCCCCAGTCTCAGTCGGATTTCTTTGACTTGCTCTACATGTATTTTCCCATTGTGTATGATATCAAGCATCTGATGAAGTTCTGCAACAACCTTCATGGTGGTCTGAATAAACTGGCAGAGCTCCTGGAACTTGAGAGGATTGGTATTTGTCACCAGGCGGGTTCAGACAGTTTGCTTACTTGTTGCGCATTCAAGAAGTTAAAAGAGAACTTCTTCAACGGTTCCACTGAAAAATATTCTGGCGTTTTGTATGGACTTGGTGTTGAGAATGGGTCTGAAAAATAAGTAGGAGTCCCCTGTGTATGTTCCCTTCCGTATTAACATGCAAGGCATGGAAATCTCATGTGGGTTGTAAACATTTTCAGAGAGCTGTTGCTCATTAGTTCTGTTGATTTCTTTTTTAACTCGTCTTCCCTGTAACCGAACCCGTTATGGGTGTTGTAGTTTGAATACTGTAAAATATGGCACCAAGTGTTTCAATAACAGTTTTTCTTTTTCCTCAGTTCTTACGTTTCCATTTTGTTTCAGTTTTGTATCTTGTCCATGTAGATGAAAAGTAAATATAGGCATTCAAAGCATCCATGTGTTTGATTTGTGGTATTCTATATGGTGACTTTTACGCACTGTCCATGTCTATGATGTTACTTTGAAAATCAATGACTCCTTCCAGTTATTCAATGTGCCTTTTCTAATGGAGTTAATTAGGTGCTAAATGAAGAGGCAGGATTCCCATGTTAGTAGAAACATTATAACCGGAACTGTTCCAGCCCGTGCAAAGTTCTGTTCCACGTATGTGTAAGAGTGTCAACAATGTATTTGCGTATGCTTGTGTATCTGTTTCCCTATCATTGTCATGATTATGGCAAAATAGAGTAACATGAGATGTATGGGATTAAGATACGATAATTACAGCTTCTTGATATATGCAGACACTTTGAGCGAAGGAGGAAGATAAGCAGCTGGAATGACGATGATGTACACTATAACCTGCTCGGAAAATGGTATATGCTCTTTCTTGTCATCAATTTGTTCAGAGAAGTCTAGGGAGTAATGATTGGGTAAATATAAGGAGAAAATGTGCAGTATATTTTTATGCTTCAAACTCATATCTGAATTGCTCAGGTCAGTTTCTTGGACAGTAATCATTCATGATTTGTACTCTCTCAGAGGGAGATTGCATGTGTTATTTGCTGCTTTGAATCATGCCTAAAGTAGCTAAGTTTATGATCTTGTTGTGCCGACTGTATGGATATCGTTGGTCTCGTGTACTCTTTACAATTAACCTCTAAATGCTATTTAGATTGCAAGGCTTACCATTTGTATTAATCGCCAAATTTCTACAAGTTTTTTCGAACTTTTACAGGCAAGTTGAGCAATCACCATCTCTCTAAGACGATAACATGTTTGGACCAAAACAGCGCGTCTTTAAGAATATAGGCATCTGTCAATGGGTGCAGTTAAGGCTATTCTGGAGAATTGATCCAACTAACTGTCCTTCATGAATAAGATATATTTTGTTTGAGGTTGCTTATATTTATTCACTTTCTTTCTCGTACTTACAATAACTAAATGATTTTTTTTTATTTACTTAGCATTTATCGGTTGTTTCTAGAAATCTCATATTTTCGGAAATGGACATGAAACCTATGTATTCTTTTGACAGTAAAATGTATTTGTATAAAACATAGAATAATATATAAATCGATAGATTTATTTTCTTTCCACCTTTCCCTTCAAAGCAGCAGTACCTGCTAAAACTGATTTGATTCTACCAAATACTTGAAAGTCATTTTCATTCTTGCAGAATTCCTTGTTGCTGCATTGCCAAGTTGGTATTTATACTAAATATATGCTTGTATTTGCATATAACATTCCTCGCCCCAAACCATGAGCATGTTTCTTCGATACCTCTCTCACGCCACCAAAGTACAGCACCAGCAGCAAGTCCTTTAGGGTCTCCATATTTGGAGCTCTTTTCGGCTCTTATGTCCACTGATGGGGTGTCAATTGTGTTAATTTACAAACCTGATAGTGGTTCTTGTGATTTCAAGCCACAAGTTGAATCAGACTTATACAGAGCTTTGTTGTGAGTTTGCAGAAAAATGTAATGTGGGATTGAGTTATAGACCTTGCGGTTTAAGAGTTCCTATGGCTTGGAGTTTGAGCGTTTCCTTTTGGGAATGTAACAAATTGAATGGAAAAATCTTCTCTGCCGTTTATGCAG